ATCACAAGGATCACCTCCGACTATATACCTCTTATATTTTAAAGCTTAGAGCTAATTTTCGAGTTTTCTTTTTTTTATACATCAGTACCTGTGGCGTTGCAGTTGAAATTTAGGCGGTCATTAAATACCATTGAACGAATGGGTCGTAAGGTAGCTAATACAGGATAGCGACTCGCCACTCGAGTTGAAAGGATTATTGGCTACAAGCTCCATAAATAGAAAAGGATTACAATGGCATTCGAAAAACTTTCATGAAATTGAAGAGCTACAGTCTGCGAAGTATTTAGCGCGTCTTTAAACCAAAAGCAGCTGAACAACAATAAGGTGTTCCCGTCATCGCAGACAACACCGCTTCTTATGGATACACCGATTCGTTTTTGCACCAGCATTGCAATGAAAAAAAGAAAAAATGAAAACGAGAAATTAAACCGACAAAGTGAATACAGTGGTTCTTTTCTACGTTGGTGTCACCTGTAAGCAGGTGTCCTATACATTTTCATGGAATTTTGCCGCTTTAAAATTTTTTCACACTTCCCTTAAGTTCCACTTTTGCACAAGGAATTGGATTTCTCTAAACGACATTTTAAAAGGAAGTCCTTACATGGATGACTTCGTAAACTTACAATAACCGAAATTAAAAATGTAGTCTACACTGTGATACCAATAAAAATTTAGCGCTTAGAGGACAAACACAAGACAATCAAATAGATTTTGACGCGAGTGGACAGGATGGCAGACCTAATTAATCTGGAACATAATTTGAAGCGGGCTCCTGATTGGACCGGATCTAAAACCGTTGACAAACAGATGATACTTCTTTAGTGAGGAAATATCCTGGATTTTTTGTTTAACGTAAACTCAAATAGCGTGAAAGTAGAAGTCGCCCTGACTTGCTGTCCAAATGCTTAGCAATATGCGAGGTGACAGCGATCTTTGTGAAGGATAGTGGAGCGATTATCAAAACTCTGTCCCTTAATTTCGCCTTTTTTTCTCGGCCTTTCATTTGAATAACTAATAAATCAGTAGTCATGCTGAAGGATATCGACGGCTGCTCACATCCTTTTCTTCCCTACTTCTCTTTTTAAGTACCGAATGAATGTGGATTTTTTGCAAAAGAGACTGTCGAAGTGTACATTTCAGTCAAAACTTCCTGGGGTCTGAGATGAAGTCTCTTGTCTGAAAAAAAACTATTATGCCACCACCTTTGCTTCCAAAAATATATCATCATTTTATCATTTTATCTGCAACTTTATCTGAAATTTTTATACTTTCTTGTTTACCTATATTTTCTGCTTAGTCATCTTTAAAGCAAAAATAATGTCTGGAATAGATGAATTGTACCGTCATTTACCTAGGCTGTCACTCATCTCTGACGTTTTCTTTCTAGAGCAGAGAGGCTTAATGAACATAAAACAAAAGATACCTGAATTAATTTTATTTAAATTGTTTTCGCTAGCAAATGCAAGAAATTGAACTTTCATTTTAAAAGCAAAGATCACATATTTGATCGAGAGTGAGGGCTTGGTTTCGTTTACGATACAAAAGGTAAAATTTAAAAATTACTCTTTTATATTATAAATGGAATCTCGTTTTCACATTGGTTTGATTTTGTAGAATTATTCATAGAATTTTGATTTCTTGTATCAAATTTAAACATGGTTTGGACTGCAAATAATCAAAATTTGGTGTTGAAAATAATCTTTAGTCTAAGGGATTAAGTTCGAAGAGCAATAACAAAACGAAATATGATACTCATCGGACAAAAAATTCAGCTAACATTTCACGAATCCCGTGGTTTTTTCTCGATATATTTTAACCGATTGTTATGGCCGATAAATGCAAGTTTTAAAGATTTATATTTGAAGAATAAGAAGGTACAGAGCAAAGTGAAAAGTCTAGCATTGGAACCTTTATGTAATTCAATATTAGAAACTCTAAAATTTACATAATATATTAAAAACTATTTTAAAGCCTATGTGTAAAAGAAAAGAACGCGGATCCTTTTATCTGTGTATTCAACATTTCCAGTGAGTGCAGTCAACACTTCCAGTGAGTGCACCTGTCTGAGCAAAAAAAATAGTATCGAAAATTTATTTGTAAATTTCGAGTATCTTTTTTTGTCGCCTTCAGAGGAAAGTGTCATCAAAACCCTTACAACAAAAATGAATGATTCACCGGTGTTGCATATAATATTCTAAACTACTCTTACCACTCCTGAATAAACATGAATGTCAGGGCTAAAATCGAGGAAATATTTTTTTAAGGAGAGTTTTTGTTGATCTGTATATCATGGAACATCTAGAAAGCTGTCCATAAGATTTATTTCAACAACGGAAGGCCTACAAATTTTAGCTCGTTAAGCATGCCATGCAAAATATCCTTGTAACAGTTAAACTGCGTGAACTGGTTTTCCTTGCCATCTATTGTTATTTAGGCCAGCGAGACTACCTTTATTTTTTTGTACTTATAATTCAAGGTAAAATGTTATTAATTCAGAGTGCAAGTAAGGATACTTCAAGTAAAAAGTTTTTGTTCTCAGATTATTACGGAGAAATTTCACGATCTTTTGTTATTACGATAGGCAGTTTATGAGTGTAGCGTAAATTTACACGCCATAGATTGTGAAGTATAATTGTTCAGGTTAGGTTCGTCTTGAAAATGGCGTGGTTATTGACAGAGACTAAGGGTAATTTAGGCGACCAAAACGCTCTACCTTATCTCACATAGCCCATTCTTAGCCATTCGAAATCCAAATATTTAGGGACCGATATCTAAGCAAATTTTTCTCCGGTAGTTCAAATCGAGGTAGAGAAAATTTTAGAGCGGTCTCTCTCTTCGAATACAAAAAAGAGGGACTATATTTTGCCTGTCAGTGTCGAGAAAAAAAGTATATGAGTAGGTGCTTCCCAAAACGTGTGCATATTCTGTACGAACCCTTAAACAGATAGAAAAGGCACAATCACATTCATCATGCTAAAGAAGATTCTTTTATTAGATATAAAATTTTGCCAAATCCACAACGGTATTTTTAGCTGGGCTTCCCACGCGTCCGTGCGACCACGCCTGAGTGGCACACCGCACTGGTGAAATTTACGACTTTACAAGCTAAAAATTCATCTCGGTTTTCAGAGCTCAAATTTCTAAAAGCTAAGTATCTATATCTCGTGATATTTCATTCATTCCGTGTGAACCGAACTTCAATGCATGCGAATTTTTCACCCATAGAAATCTGTTTATTACCATGTATACGTCAATAATGTAATAAAGTCGTTAAGATATGAACAATGTCAAGTGAGTTACTCTCTTCCGAACGAATTCTACCAGCAATTACTTCTACCCAATATCATCGCTTAAAGAAAGGTCGTTGCTCGTATTATCCCGTAAGCAGAGCTTATGAAACATGACAATAATGTTGATTTTCAGCCAATTGGCTTTCTAATTTTTCCTTCAGATGGAAAAAAATATATACATACTTCACGTGCGAAGCAAAATTCTGGAATCTCGTCGGCTGAAAGGAGTTGTTAACAGCGTTTTTTCCGTACGTGACCTCTCCTTCCCTTTCTCGTATTTTCTAGTCCGTCATATTACCTCAGCGTTAATTTCCCTTTAAAAGCTTTTAGGATTTGACTTCGTGATTAACATTGCGATTTTTTCCGCCACTGCTGTCGTTTTACCTTTTTATGATTGTCGCTATTGCAATGGAAAGGGCTCACTTAGCATACTAATGAGTTTAAAGACTTCTAGTTCGTGATTTAATAGACATGCAGGCTATAGTATTTGAATCACCTGTTTGTCAATCAAATGGCTCTCCAAAATTCAAATGAAACATTAAATGCGATCGTGGAAATGCACCTTTCATGATTGTCGCTATTGCAATGGAAAGGGCTTACTTAGCATACTAATAAGATTAAAGACTTTCAGTACGTGATTTTACAGACATGCAAGCAATAGTATTTGAATCACCTGTTTGTCAATCAACTGGCTTACCAAAATTCGAATGAAACATTAAATGCGATCGATGAAATCAATTTATCTCAAGGGGTTCGGTCTTCAGCAAATGTTTGCCGTCAGCAGTACATTCAATTGAATGACGCCCTAAGGTAAACAGACTTTTTAGGGAGTCAAGTGATGCGGATTAGTCACGTATTTCATCGAACAAATTTTTCTATTTAAAAATAAACCACGAGTTATGCCTCCACGAGACTAAACAGGACATGCTTTAAGGTTTCATTATCAAGAAAAAAAAAGACGAAGCAGGGGGAGAAATCTGATTACCACAAAAGGAAACTGAACTCCAAATATCAAATAAGAAGAAAAAAACAGTATAACTATTGAAAAGGTGGTATTACCGTCAATGCACGTTGCTCATTATTCATGATCTCGTTCTCCAAATGGATTGTAAATGACTGTGATTTCTGTTTTATTGCATATCCAAGAATACTTTTTCAGTTTCCTGCGGAAATCGTTTGTCCTTCGAGAAGTTACAACCATGGTTGAATTAAGGGGAAAAACATCGAAATAACTGATAATTGGTCGCCCTAAAGCTTTACGTGCGTCGGAAGAAAATCCTTTTAAGGTCTTCTTCTGATCACCCGAGAGAACATATATATCCTAAGGCTCTTAAGACTGATACTTTGGAGTTTACGTTTTATTCTTGAAAGCAAGGCAACTTTACATTCGAAGTTGACTAAAATTTGGAAATTTTGGTTTAAAAGAAGACAGCAAGTTGCAAACACCCCTAAGGTCGAACTTCTAACCTATTTCTACAACATTTGGGCTTTATTCGTTTGAAATGCGAACAGGGTGCATTTTCTCAAAGGTTTATATAAGATAATTTGTTAATATCACTCACTTTCTTCTCGTTTATGGTTTCTCCACTGACAGGAAATTCATTACATGAATTGCAAAGGAAAGAATGGACCAAATGGAAGCCACAGAGTAAGCTGAAGGAGTAGTTGGAGGTTCTAAGTGCGAGAAGGTTCGTTACAAGACGTGTGTAAACCATGACCTCCAATCTTACTGACATCAGGAAATCGGTATCAAATAGTACTGAACCACAATCTGCTTGCCTTCAGATTGCGGAGTATACCATTTTCACTGCTATTTTTCTTATCAGTGTGGCAGGCAATATTCTTGTCTGCCTGGTGATCTTAAAAACGCCGCGCATGCGCACTACGAGAAACTACCTATTGGTCAATTTAGCTGTGTCGGATTTAACCATGTCACTTCTGTGCATACCATTTGATGTCGCACTGAAGATAACATCTCCCCTCTGGCCTTTGGGTTCCATCATGTGTAACATACTGTGGCCCGCCATGACTTTGGTAACAAACTGCTCAGCCGCAACACTGGCTGCCATAAGTTTAGACAGGTAGGGATTAGAATTAAATAGCACATGGTACGCATCATCTTATTGGTTTTCCAGACGGATGTTTTATCAAGCTCTATGTTTGAACTCAGTTACACGTGTGATTTTTCTTGATTATAAGATATCTAGCTCCACGAGAGGGCAAGCCTTTAGTGAATTATGAATCTAGCTTCCAGCCTTCGTAATTCGAAACCTCTGGAATATACTTTGTCTGTGACAAATAAAGAGCTTATTTGCCTCATTAATGAAACGTTAGATGGCCCCTGTTTCGCTTTTTTTTCTTTTTTTTTTTTTTTTTCCAATCGAAGTCATCTCGCCTCGGGTAATGAAAACGCGTTAAGAACTTGGCGATGTTTACTCTTGAATCGCCTACACGAAAATAATTCAGATAAGCTAAGACTAATCTGCTTCTTTTGGGGGTTCTTAATGTGATCTGTACAAACTACATTTGATCAGCAACAGACTTCTCAACAAATAAGTCAATAAATTTTATCCATGGATGGTGATATTAGCAAAATATCAAAAGATGAAATTTGGGTATATTCAAGACCTTTGGTTGGATGAGAGTTGGGTCAATAGATAAGTGTTTAGTTTATTCTTCCCTTATAAAGAGACTAGGAAACGAAATAATCGGGATGTGTTTTGCTCCGAATAGACATATGACAAATCGAAATAGTGAAATAGTGTTGGTCATCATTATATTGACTTAAGTTTGTGGTTATTAAACATGAATTTCAATGCAGCTTCTCTTTCTCTCGTCAGATACCGAGCCGTCGTTCATCCTTGGAAGCCGCGTTTCACGTCATTCCAAACATCTGTAATAATTGTAGTCACGTGGTCAGTGTCATTCATGCTCGTGCTACCATACGCGCTGGTACTAAAAATTCAAAATGGCTATTGTGCAGAAGATTGGCCTCATCCAGTGGCTGTAAAGGCATACACTGTAGGTTTGTTTATCTTCCAATATGCCCTGCCGCTTCTCATAATAACTTTCGCCTATACGATGGTGGGGAGGAAACTGCGTCACCAAGCTGCGCGCATTGCAAGGAATCGTTACGCAAGTGGCGTCCTCGTGGTAGGTTACAGTTCGATGAAGAGTAATTGTCAGCAGAACGCGATGAGTGAAGTTTATTCCGTATCGTCTCCTAGCGTAGCACGTGTTTTTGAATTTAAAAACACGTTCAGTGATCCTGCAAAACGAGAGCTAGTTCCGCTAAAGTTTGAGAAGACGCCATGCGACAAAAAGGAAATGAAAAGGCTGGAACGCAACACGAAGATCATGAAGATGCTAGTGATGGTTGTTCTACTGTATGCCATATGTCTCTTGCCCAATCAAGTGGTTTGGCTGTGGTATGAGTTTGGAAACTTACAGAACTGGCCACACTTCAGCAAGCTCCTGACTTTTGGCAGTATTATGGTATATATCAACAGCTGTGTGAATCCATTGTTGTATGCTGGCATGAATGAAGACTTCAGGAAAGGTTTCTGCAGGATTCTGCGCTGCAGATGGAAGCCTCCCTTTATGACACGAGTATGAGAGTTTTCTAGAACTTCTGCTCAGAAAAGTCGACAATAAAACTGAGAAGATAAATTTCTGATTTAAAGAGGCCTTTCAAAGCTCAGAAGCACCAGTTTGCTATCAAGCTTAGAAAAGTTCTTAATTAATCTACGTCGTGAGTTCTGTTTTCAAATGAAAGTGTTATTGTTTTAAGGCTAAATATCTCCTTTCAGAATCTTCTGAGGGGGATGGGTTACATCTCAGGTTTTTGAAGATATCTCAAGATCAGAGTATCGTTGGTTAATTCGAAATGTACGTAATGGGCTATGCTTGTTTAATACACTATTACAAAATATTTTCCCTTCTCTCAAATGCTAAATCTGATTTTTTTTACAACTCGTAATCCAAAATGCGATTAGAATTTTACGTTTTTTCTCTTTAGGGTGTGTTGTAAATTCGGAAATACAAAACTAAACGATGCCAATAATTCTAACAAAATAACGAAGTAATTCTTTATAAATTATTAGGTGTTTAGGTTGGTGGAGCTCTTTTATACCTATGATCGGCAAGGGCACCATGCCTGTCAAGAGCTTGAGCACTATGTTATAATTATTACGGAAAAGTAATTAATAAAATATAGATGTTATGCTCGATCAAATTGGCGTAAAATAATAAATGTGAAAAAATAAAAGAATAATCTCGTCCAATAGCGAATCAGTTGTGCCCTTTTATAGATTGAAATGTATGAAATTGTAAAAAATGTTTCTAGAGGTCGAAGATCTTTGTACAAATAGTTTATAATATCAGTAATTTCATAAACAATAATGAAATAAAAAGGTTAATTGTGATTGATTAAAAGCTTTACTATGATTTATGAAATGTAAGTATTATTTTCTGTGTCATAAAACATGATATTCTCCTTGCACACTGTGAACCAACTATTAAATCTTTCACACATGAAGATTGCCATTTGTTTTTGGTTACCAGCTTTATTAACATTGGGTACCTACTTTTCACGGGAGCTTTATTTTAAACTTAGGTTTAATTTAACTTTTTCTTCACATTGCTGAGAATTGAGTCAACGAGTAGGTAAATAACCATTAGATTCTGTGGTATAGAAAGACATTTTAAAACTGTCTCTTATTTATAGAACTGTCTCTTCTATCTATTTATGGTAAACAGAACATATGCGTGTCCTCTTGTGGATGCGAATTTTTCTCCTCGTGATGATAATGGCTAAATTCGTATTTCCACACGGCTATTTAATCATTATAACACTATTTTGCCATTTCTCAGTTTCCATTCGAACCTTACTTTATTACAATCCCAAGCAAACCCAATTAAAACTATGGACGAATCTTACTTTCATTAAAATATGTATTACCTACCCAATCTACTGTTTTCAAAACAGTTCAAGACAAATAATTTTTCTTTCTTGAATATACAGCATGATGTAGATTTTACTCTTCCTCTTTGTAGTTGTTGGGGTTTTAGAAGATGTCGCTGTTGCTTTTTTGTCGTAGAAAAGCTTGTTTTACACTGACCCCTTGGAATTCTTAGTGCATTCTTTCTTTTAATGTTTCATTTCACCTTTTCCTCAAGCGCTCAAATTTGTTTTATCGTTACCATCAGAAGAGTAAAGAGTATCTTTGCTGTTCGTGTTCATACAAAAAAGAAAAAATTAGGAAGTCACCTCCTATGTAAAAGGCAAAACTTCAGCTTCTACCGGCTTACAATCAGCCTTACATTTTGATGCAAATAGTTTCACTTACTAAGTTGATTGATACATTATGGGAAAATTGAGCAACAGAAGATATTGAGGTGCAGCCGCAGTGCTTGCAGCTGTGAAAATATTTTCAGCTGTTACTTAGTGCGAAATATTGATTTATTTTAACCATGAAGGAAACCTCAGAATATTAATTTGGCATGTTAAAGAAAGGTCATCGAAATGAAGTAAATTTACTTTAACCAAAAGGAGCGAGGATGTTTACGGTTGGAAGAGATTCACACAAATTTTACACGACAAATTTAGCCGAAGTTTTAAGGATACCTGCATCGAGAGGTAACTTCAACACTCATTTATGTAACGCTTAATTTAACCACCGAACTAAAATGTTTGACGCTGCTCTCTCCATTGGCATTTTATAATTCTTATGAATCCCTTTCTAAATTCTTCGTTCATACCAGCGTAGAGTAAAGGATTAACAGAACTGTTGATGTATACCATAAGGCTTCCAAATATAAGTAACTCTTGAAAATGAGGCCAGCTTTCACCAGATCCAAACTCCAACCATAACCAAGCAACTTGATTTGGCAAAAGACAAATCGCGTAAGAGAGGACTACGGAAACAAGCATCTTTACAATTTTAGTGTTGTGCTCGAGTCGTTTTGCTTCTTTCATTCTGCAAGCTCGGGATGTTGTCGGAAACTGCTGCTTCTTCCTTGTTGGAAGTGGGGAGGCAACATCGTGCATCTGGATTTCTAATTTCTTATGACCAAGATGATGTGTTTTATTGAGATTCCCATTCCTAAATTTCTTCCTCTCTGGAACAGGAGAAGACAACGAGATTGCATCACTTATGTTGGGGGCGAGGCTATTGCCAGCATTCCAGTTTTCCTCTGGCAACGATGGAGATGCTGGCCTCTTTGAAATTTCATGGTAGCTCGCCATTCGTTCCGATTGTTCTCGAAGCTTGAGAACTATTTTGACATATGCAAACGCAATGATTGTGAGAGGTAAAGCATACTGGAATACAAACAGTCCCACAGTGTAGATTTTTTGTGTGGTGTTACTGGGCCATTCTTCGTCGCAGCTGTTATCGATTACCTTCAAAGCTAACACGTATGGCAGCACAAGCAATAACGACACCACCCAGATTGCCCCAATGATGAAACCAGTTTGTCGAGTTGTGAGACGAGCTTTTGTCGGTCGGACTATTGCGCGATACCTTAGATGGAAAATGGAAGTATTATTGAGAATTTACCCACTTTCCTTTATGGTTCTGAACAAAAAATTCAAAAGGTATATAATTTGACGAAGTGTTAATTAAAGAAATAACTGGAAAAAGATTGAATTACGATAGTGCGTAAGGACCGCAAGGGCCTTAATATCTCTTTTTTTTTTTGACTCAGATGTTTCTTAAATGCAGACCTAACCTTTTCTAAACATAACTGTGCTATGGGACACGTGAAAATTAAAAAACAACAACAACAACGAAATGCGATCTGCACAGAAAAAAAATCTCACGAGAATCTGCACTTGAATAGATGACAAAATGTATCATGAACCACACGGTTCTTATATAACATTTCTCTCAAGACATTTGTTTTTGCTCATGAAAATAGAGGAGTATTCAAAAGGATGTAAAAACTGATAATTATTTTTAATTAGGCCAGACTCTTACCTGTCAAAGCTGATTACTGCAAGTGTAACTGCAGAGGAATTGGTTACAAATGTCATAGAAGGCCACAATAACTTGCACATCGCGGCGCCAAGCGGCCAGTTGGGTGCTGTAATCTTGAGCACCAAGTCGAACGGTATACATAATAGGGCTACCGTTAGATCTGATACCGCCAGATTGACAAGGAGGAAATTTCGTGTTGTGCGCATGCGTTTTGTTCCCAATACCACCAAACAGACCAAAATATTTCCTATGGTACTAACTGCAAATATTATGGCAAACAGAGTGTACTGAAGAATGTCCAACCATGAAGCCTCATTCGGAACTGTATCGTTCGTTGAATTGGTACTGATATTTGCCACGGAAGTCCCGCTGAACATTGCAAGAGAATTTAACGAAGAGTAATATGCTGATAACTTAAATGTATGCTCTGTTACGCTGTGTTCTTTTCAACTTGGAGGAAGATAAGAGGTCGTCAAATGAAATTGTGATAATTCAACCTGAATACATGAGAAGATAAGGTTAAGAATTGCGTAAATTTCAACCCTCAATACTTTGACTAACATCGATATACAACAACCATTAAAGAATAAGGCTGGTATCAAAAAATGTTTTGAAGTTCTTGAAATCATGAAAATGATGCTAATTTCAACAAGAATTTCTCCTTTGTGAAAAAATGACGTCTTCAACGCCCCGAAGAGAACGTACTATTTATAACTTCACTCGTAAAGATAATAATGTCGTAATGGTAGCCAGGTTTATTGTCTTGGCAGTTTTATTTTTGATGAATGTTTTTAAACTTACTAATGGTTGAATCAAACCATTTTTGAGAGGGAACTACTATGTGCTGAGCTTATGGGCGAGTGATCTCTGCATTAGGTGCTCTTAAAACAGGTTTTAGAATTTCTTTGATTTTGAGGAAAATTGCATTTTCGCTTGAGGAAGTAATCTTCTCGAAGAAAATAGTTCATCTCAATAATAAACGAAACGAACGAGAGAGAGAAATTATCAACTCTCTAAGTTTACGGCGGCCATGTACGAGTTATATCCTGTATATTTTATTATCCTAATTTGATTATCTTTTAAGTATTTTTACTCCCCAACTTTGTAATATTTTATTCTTCGCAAAACTGTGAAAAAGAATTCCATTGGATCAAAGTGACCATTTACTGATTATCATGAGATACGATGATAGGGTTTGAGTATGTGAGTGATATAATCCTCTTCATAACTCACTTTTTCTATTACTTATAGAGGACCATTAATTCATATTTCTCACTCTCGTTTGGTCTGCGACGTTTTGTCTAAGATAATGCATTCTACCTTGGATACAATTTCATATAAAGCTTAAAAGATTTTACCTTGGAGTGGTTTTTTTTTTTTTCAAGAATACATGGAAGGAACGTCGAGTCCACTCTGATACAAGTCCGTCAATATCAATATGTTAATAATGAGACAGACAATAACTATATATAGACATTCTCATCTCGTCAAACATCACACATAATGCCAGAACTCGCAATGAACGCCAGCGACAGCGAAAATATCAATTAGCAGAAACATTTCTTTCACACCATGATCAGAAAATTACTAATAACCAAGTGCCTACGAATCATTTCGCCATGAATAGGATTAGCGTTCCACGATAGAAAAATATGATAAAGGTAGTTCGGCGAGAAAAAAACCAGACAAAGAAATAAAGTCTATGGTTGCGTGTTTGAACGCAAAATGCAAGCAAGCAATTATTCCTTTTTTGAAATCATTTTCTTGTTACTACAGTAAACACGCATTAACGATTCTCAATTATAATGAGGTAAGAACGAAAGTCCATCTTTGTTTGTGCTAATGACATCTTCGAAAAAACAAAAAGGTTTTTTGTTTATTTTTATTAAAGCCTGCCGGTTGGCTCAGTTTATTATGAATGATAGAAGAACTATGGACATTATACAAACCCATTGTTGTAAAAGCGCTGAGTAACAAGGCTTATCGGTGACAATACATGGTATTTGAATAATTATGTCAATAGATGCCTTTTTGAAGCTTTTCCATGCAATTTCTTTGATTAGTTATACGAATTTCACCTGCAGTTCATGATATATTTGAACGAGACCTAAGTGTAAAGTTACAAAGTCACGCTCAGCATCTACACGATTAATGTTACCATAGTAGCTTCTTGTTTATGCTTTGAAAATAAACCAGTTATAAGCGCAGTTTTGTTCAAGCACGTTCTCCATGAGTGGAAGTGAAAAATAGTTCTCCAAATCTCCAGCATAAAACTGATCAATTCCGATTAACCTTAATAAACTTGATTTTTGATCGATGAGCGTCAAGCAGTCGAAGTTTGTGGTAATTATGATATTTTACTCGAATTTTCGTCATGGCAAGTTCCTGGCTAACTTGTACCAGTAAGACGGTCGACTGACTGAGAGGGAATTCATTACGTATGAAAATTTATCAGACATTTTCTTCTTTTTGTAAAACGAACAACATGGCATATCGCTTTACCAATTCAAACCTCGTCACTACCTTCAGAAATGTAGCGGGGAACGAATCAAACAATTGGGAATCTGGTAATCTTTGAATATCTGAACTCTCCCAACAGTGTTATGATGGGAGCAATGGCTGCACATATTTAACATTATTGCATACATCTATGTCTGAAATTTTCGAACAAACAGTTACTAATTCAATAACCTGAAAGGAGATACGTTGAATTTTCTAGCATGAAAAGGTCTTTTGTTCGTCCAAATTGCGTCTGCTCGGTCGATATAAGAGGAACTTTAAGTCAATTTTGGGCGGAAGGCTAAACGCGGTGGTGAAACAGAATTGCTGTCTGTCCTAAAACTATCTGTGCAATAATGTGAAGAGAAGTGCTTGTGATTTGAAAAAAGATATCATAATTTTACTCTTCTCTTGGATCTAGTTCCAGCATAAAAGAAAATAAGTGAATTTTGAAATTAATTTAGGCTCTCTCGCCTGAATTAAACGCGCGACAGTTCTACAAAGTACCTCGCTCGAGGCACCAATTACGAAGCTCTCACTGCTAATTTGAAAGCACATGAAACGAAAGTGGCAAGATAAGCGTATCTTTGTTTAGCCAAATGGGTGGGCGTGCAAAGATAAAATATAGTTTAAATTTTTATTTTGGTTCTGTTTTTACCACCCTCGCTGAATTCAGCGGTGTTTAACATACCATCAGTCGGTTTCTTATCTGTTCAAACTCATTACTGACTCAACATGCCCACTGATTTAACGAACAGAATTGGTAATGCTAGTTGTTCCGCTGATGATGATGCTAGCAGTTCAGTTGCCACCTTTTGCTCGCGTGTTTGAAACCACTGCGGAACTTGGCTGAACCATTGTGTTTCCTTTTACTCAGACTGCATAACACCCGTACCACAACACTAACAAACTTTAGCGGCGGCAACTTTGCACAGAATACTTTTACTCACCTAACACGCTGTCGCCATCGTAAAAAAAACGAGGCCCTTGGCAATCCGTAAGAAATGCTGGTTCAACATCAATCAAGGGGCGCTTTCATCTGTTGACGTCTGAAATGCCGAACAGCGCTGGCACAAATGTCATTTGCAAACCGAGACAAAGGATTTACTTTTAATAGTGCGTCAGATTTTAATTCCTTTCGTGACAGCGTTTGAAACATTTATCAGCTTTAGACACAGATAACAAAAATTGAGAATATATAAACTTTTGATCCTAATAGCATACGAAGACAAACTTTTCAGCTGTATCATTAAACTGTCATACAACTTTCACATTTTCATCTAATAAATGATCTAAAAAAGCTCGAAAGGGTTGAAAAGTCGACAAATTCGAAGTAACGAATACATTAAAATTCATTTTACTTTTTAATTTGCCCTTAGAAATATTAAAAGGATTGTTTGTTGTACCATGAAATATTGATAATCCAAGATAAAAAAAAAGCCTTGGGGTTGAATTCGACTAAGTATTAGAACATTTTTTTTCGTATATCTCTGGTCATCAATATTATTTTGTGGTATATTTGAATTATAGGAGACTTACACTGAAAAGACTACGCTGAGATATGCAACGCATCCAAAAGAATAATTTGATCTGAATAGAAAAGTATAATCCGGGCTTTCCTCATCATAAAAACTAAGGTTTACTGATTTACATGAAATTCAGTCATCCTTATAATCTGCAGATCAGCAAGACTTATAGATTTCGAATTTAGCACTACAATTTTCTTGTATCTCTCATTTTGTTCATACTTGCCATTTTTTCCTTTTTTATGAGGCAAGCTTTCCTCTTTGAAGGGGTGATAAATCAAAAGCGTGAAACTTTCCATTACCAGAAATGTTTTATAACTTCTGCTTGCTAACCTTCGTCTCCAGCATTTTGGCTAGAAGTTGTGTTTTCTTAGTTCTTGTTTTTCTTTTTTTTCTTTGCTCATTAGCTTTAAAGGAAGGGCCTTCAGGCGAGACGCTGAGCTTTTCAGGTGCAGAAATAAAATCGAGCTTTATTTTAATTACGAAGACGAAGTTAAGGGGATTACTGTTATCAAATCCTTATTTTCAGCCAGTTAAGAAGCTCATTTGACGAAAGTTATCTCGCCCAGGAGTACTTGGTTCACGGATATCTCAATTGGCTTGTTCCCACTGTGCAATACGTATTTGATAATTGGTGCAACAGGCAGAATATTCTAGTGAAATTATTAAGGCGCGCACGGCGGCGAAGAATCGGGCGTTGATTGAAAATATCTGCACCCATTATCCGAAAACCCGGCTTTAAAATCTAACGACCTTTAGAATGCATTTGCCATTGAGAATATATTTAAAATATATATGAAAGGTGAAGGGGATCAAGAGGGAAAATTTGAAGCTTGAATAGATAATCTTACCAAACAGGTGGCCACCGTAATAAGAACATGCTATCGCGCTCAAGGGCGTCTCTGAAAAGCCTTTTTTTTTTTTTTTTTTTTTTTTTTTTTTTCGAAGAATGTTTCTAATGCCCAGGCTCAATTTTCTTGATTTTCTAGCGACTTTTTATGTTAATAAATTATAATAAATTATATCTAGTCAAATAAGACGGAAGGGGTCAAGAATAAAAGTTTTGACATCTTTAGGCAATACAAATTAAGCACAAGTTTTTATAATTTTGGGGTGCCAGCTTCACTAGAAAAATAGAAAGAATTTGAAAAAAATTTTTGATAAAGGAATGTCTTCCACCGAATTTTTAAGTATTTTTTTCGAAATTAATGTGAAAGAGCATTTTTTTTTACAAGAACTCAGCTTAATATATCATTAATTAAATTCATATTTTATCAAATAGCATATTAAAATTTACTCAAAATTTTGGTCTTAATATTCTGATTTAAGGATGGAAAGTAAGTATGGCTTATGCCATGCCTGAGTGTTTGCAACTTAACTGAAACTGCAACTTAACAGTTATTTCGAAATGCTGAGGAGTACGCGGTTACAAATCTAAGCAAATTAATGACAGTATAATTGTAAAACAAACGCGAAGGTTTTTGAGTATTAATTTAATTTCTGTTTGCCTTGAATACATGGTGGTAAAATTTGTTATAGCTCCTAAACAATATCGCTAAACTGTGGATGGTAAAATAATGTTTCAAAAGGAACATAGACATATTTCGTCAATTTTTTTTTTAGAATAATTCATGAGAAAAATATTCTGTCTATCAGCTCACTTTTTATTTCACGCAATAAGCAAAAACCTGCTTTTAAAAGCTATTCTCAGAATGCTCTCAGATAGCAGCCCTACGCGAAAAATTTATGAAATAAAAATCCCCCACACGGCCTCTTCTAGCTTGCTATGTATTTAGTTATACCACTCTTAATAAAATCCGGCAATTCTATAGTCATCGGCTGTTAATTCGACAAAACATGTGACATTTTCATCAATGGATCATGGTCTTACATTTCAAATGTGTTTGCATTCAGTCTATGAAACAGCGGAACCGCTGGCCATTCATAAAGGCAAGCTGAAAAGTGATAATCCAGGGTGTGATGAAAGGTTTACTCTACACAGCTTCTCTGTCCGTGATGAGAAGAAAAAGAAAATGACCTAATCTTTGAGTAAAGTTATATATATGCACGCTCTCACATGGTGATATCATAGGTCAAGGTTAGTCCAAACTGCAATGTTTACTTCAGAGAACATTTTTCATTATAAAACGTTTGAATTGTTCCAATTTTAAGTAAGCTTTAAGCACTGAAAAAAAGACGAAAATAATTCCAAAGATATATTTGAAGGGGAAGAAAATTATCCCTCTTGCATGGATTACATTCTAAGCTTTCCTTCGATTTGTTTTCATCTTAAATCCTGAATGTACCAGCTTGCTTCAAGTGAATTCGTTTCAGTGGAACCATTTAAACCACTTCAAGATGATCCGTATTCGAGAGATTTTTGCGGTAACAGTTCGTAAAATGTTAACTTTTGTAAGACGTGGCCTCTGAATTGTGTCTTATAAATGAATAAATAATGATCAATTTTAAATCCGTAATTTAAAATAATCCTGCAATGCGCTAAGAAGTTTTAAAATTGATCCTACCTTTAAGAGACACTTAAAACGCTGATGCTGTCTTCTCATGCTTAAACGATTCTCTGGGTTTATTTCATATTTTTTTCAGACAATCTAATTTTCACAGGAAACGAACTGCAGAGGAAGGTATGTCGCAAACGATGAAATTGGATATGAATATTTACACCACTAACGTGGAGGGAACTGCAAATTCATTGCGACATTTTTCCAAAAAAGGAGATTCCAGAGCAAGCTGTCGTAAAATTAACATTAACCGTATAGTTTATGACGGTTAAAACCTTGATTGCCTCTATTAATGGCTTATGGTTCTCCTCACTTACCCGCTCCCTCAATTAAACTTTATTCTGAATATTATTATTTTTTAACCGCGTTCTAGTAAGCTTTGGTGCAATGTTTTGAAAATTGTTCTTTCTGAAAATTTTACATTTTAAAACATTGTGAAATGTGATATTTAATAATTACTCTACTCATTTTTCCATCACAATAACAGTTAAATAGACTGACATCACATTCAATGTATATGAAAGTGTGATAAACATGAAGTTTTACGTTCCAGCATAAATATTAGCATCATGTATTTCGTCTTCAGCGAAACACGCTGCACCATCTATATCACAATATGTTTACTTCAGATTAAAATCGATGTTTTCGTTTCTGACGCAAATCCGAATGACAAGGCGTGATCAGTGGGCGAAAAGCTTAAAAAAGCTACGGGAATATAAGGTGATTTCCATTAGCTCGCCCTTTTGAGAGCTTTAACGGGTAAAAAAAACAGAGACTTGAAATGTCTGACGGCTTTTGTCTAAGATGGCTCAGCTTGGCAAATGTACTCTTTCACATTGTTTGTTTTTTCTTTTTTAAAGTTGTAACGACGTCGAAATGAGATACGAACAAATTAGCCGACAAGCCTCAAGAGGTTTAAATTACCGATGCTGTTTCAACCTTTTGACGTATTCTGAACTAAGCAGTTGCATGGAAGAATATAAAAGAAAACATTGAAACGAGTCGTTCTGTAAAGCTTGAATTCTCGAAGATTGGTCGCAGATTAGGCATTTTTAAAGTCGCTCAGATCAAGTCATAATCGAGTTCTACTAATTTTAATCGCTTTCATCTTTATTTTCACAAGGACTCCAATGATTTACAATATCCGAAATATTCTTGGAAAGATTTTCAAAGCAGTACACCATCATTAAAAATTTAAATTTCCTTGACTACAGGAACGACCAATCTAGTGCATTTAGTGTATCTGACCTTTTACTCAATTCCCCAAAAATTTTTTCATTATAGACAATACCAAAAGATTTTAATACGAAAACTCAAAAGCATAAAATTCTTGTTAATCAGTTCTCCACCGCTCACCACTGTTCAAAGAGCGGCCGCTAATCAAAGCAAATCGAATCCTCCCCCAGAACTTTTAATAGTTGCTAAAGGTCATTTGATTACTTCGTTATTTCTATTCAGCGTGTACGTAACCAAGAAAACTTATTTCTCATCTAAAAATCTATAACTGAAAGGCGGCAACCAAAATCCTTCATTGACCTCACTGACTGTTTTAGATCGAATATACATTTTTTATACACGTTAGATGTTCTTTTAATATACATTTTTTAGACATGTTAGATGTTCTTTTAATGTTTTGAGTTATCAAAATGCCCGCTCTTCTCCCAGCCGGGAGGTTTTTCTCACAGTTTTCGCGGAGCGAAAAACAGAGAATTGTTGGTATGTCCTGCATGATGACGAAGTAAGATGTAGCTAACTATAGTTGAGTACACATTCGAAGTTTTTACTTTTCTTAAAAGGCTATTATTTTAGCAAGTAATGGCAATAATAATATTCCTAATCCTTTTTCATCCACTGCAAAGTTTTAGCAGCACCGCTGAGTCAATCACGATTGATCGTGTAAAAACAATCAGTGAACATTGCAGCAGGAATCTAATTTACAATGCAGCTTAGGCTGACCATTCAAGTTTTTACACCGTTAATTATTAGATTATTTGAGCTTCTCAGCCTGAACAAAAATGAAGTAATCCATTTTGAACCGATTGGTAAACTGAAAAACTAAAAAAAGGGTTGAGATCAAAACATTTTCTCCCAAGAATTAGTGTTGCGATAGTGAAAGACAAACAGGAAGGGAAAGGATTGTTAAAAATTGATTTATACTGACTCTGAGATAACGGTCGGAGGCTAATTAAGTTAAAAATTCTGGATTCATAACACAACCATCAAGGTGGTCCAACATCGGTAGTCAACGACAGAAAGAGATGACAAAAGAGACAAGGGAACTCGACTGCCAGCAAGCAAATCTACTCGAAATTGACGAAAAGAGCCCTTTTGATGTCTTTGATTCAAAAGATTGGAGATTTTGTCGTAAAGGGCTATTTTGGATCAATTTGCAACAAACAAGATCGGCTTGTAGCTCCAATATTGGGTAAATGAAACCAGTGGAAAACTGTAATAAAAACAACACAGTTGTCTCCGAAAAAAATGTAACTTCAAATAGCACGGTGCCATAATCAAATGTTCATACATATTTTCTAGACTGAAAAATAACAAAAATTACACCTAAATCTTCTAAAACATGATGCCAAGTGATAACAAAGCAAAAAATTAAATAAAAAACCATTTTCGCAAGCAGGAACATAAAAATGTCAACTTGGCTTCGAAATATCAAAGTTAATTAAAGGGCAAAACTTGAACATCTTGCAGTTTGATTTCAACCGTTCAATGTTAACCTGAGTGTAACCGCGACCAAGATATTTTTTGTTAGTTTTAAAACTGTTTTTGTCGAAATTTTTAGAGAATTTAGTTCCTCACTATTAATCTGATGCCTTTTGCCTTACCTGTCACGCTATTCGTCGGTGTTTCCTCTGTTAGTATATATTTTTGGCTATATGCAAATCTGGGGTGTGCTCAATTTAAGTGATGTTTTAAGAAGCGTCGTCTTGAGTTTGCAAAATTTATTTAGTGAATTTGTGTTGCATCCAGGCGAAAACTATATTTTGTCCCACGATATGCAACCGATGAAATACGCCAAAATGTATGTGGAAAAAAGTTCCGTTCAAGCAGACTTGAGCACTTACGTACTGCTCATCGATACCGCTTGGCTACAGCTAAGTGACAAATCTCCTTATCTTTTGAACAGCTTTATGCTATAAACTGTTTCATTTAGCTTCTTCATAGAGTTAACGAAAATTGCACATTTATTTCATCAACCTACCTTTTATCGATGGTTTTTAGCTCCAAAAAAATAAGGTTTGCTTTTGGCGACTTCTTTTATGTGATTTGCTTGTTACGTACGAAATGAAGTTTAGCATATAGGTTCGTCGGCTTCCTTTCCTTATGGTGACAATGATGTGAAATCAATCTTTCTGACAGATATCCTGCCATCAATAATATGCAATATGCACCCCTACTGCTCGGGATAATAAATTTCATATATTCTTCGCCTGAACATGAGTCGCAGATGTGAATCGGAGAAAGTTTTGGGGGGTTTGCCGACCTTTTTAAATAATGGTGTTTTGTTTAAAAAAATGGGAATTAAGCGTGGCTTTTTTAGAATGCAAACAACGTTCTACAAACCTAAGTTTGTTTGCGCTCGACAAAAGACTTGTTTTAATTCATTTTGTTATCATTTCTTGAATAACAAAGAATATTACGTTTACATCTTGGATTCCCACGTAATGTACTCTTTTGATGTTGTATTTTGTTGTATATTTTTTGTTTTCTTTGTTATGTTCATTTTTCCGTTAGTGTTTGTTTCTAGAAAGTAAATAAATCTGTTAAAACCCATTCAAATAGTCCGTGGTGAAATAACTCAGTTCGAGTTCGTTGAGCTGAAAAGATGTTTTTCCATCCTTTATTGCTGAAAAGCTAATATTGATTTTGTGTAAGTTTTTAACATCATTCAATTCTATTACTACTTTTCAACTGTTCTGTAAAGAAGAAAGATTTACGAGTTTAAAAAAAAGGTAGCTCTTATTACTTAACTTAGATTGGTTAGTTTAAGATAAGGTAACCGTAATAAGATTACACAGCAGCTACGGGGTATATTTCAATAAAACTTCTGTTGACAGTGCGGCCAATGTTTAACATAGAGCAGGAAAAAAAAAAGCTAGACACTTTTTTTCGCGTGGCGTGTTTCGACGGTTGTAAAATTTCCCAGAAGTATCCATTTTAGATTCATCTCCCGTTTCATTTTCCGTTTCATTTTTATAGGATGTGCAGTCTCAGCCAATGAAAACACTAATAGTAGCAGTATTGCAGGTAATGACAAATGTATTGAAGAAAGTTTTGATTAGATGATTGTAAGTGCTGTTAAAACAGCTGAAACGTTGCACCAGGCTGTTGAAAGGGAATTTAATTTAAACAAAGGAGAATGGAACAACTGTAAGCCCCAAGGCAAGACACGAAAAGTATTTTAGGGGGCAATAAGACAGTTTACCGATTGAAGTTTTCAAAGCGAAAAAGGGGAAATCTACCGAAACTAACCATCTTTCCAACAGAGAGGGAAAGCAAAGTAATGGTGATGTAATTAAATTCGTTCTCATTTTCTTGTGCGCGCTGAGAAACACCGGATGGCACCTTTTTCTAAATGAAAATCGTCTCCAAGAATAACCTAACAATAATGTAAATGGACAAATGCCCAGTTGTGTAAAAAGAAAACATTAAAAACGCGTGAGCAACTCTGTAATGAACTTCATATAAAGTAAAACTCGCTCTGTAAAAATTTCACTTGTCATGTTCACTGTCTGTGTTCCCTATATTCACCTACATTATCAATAATTAACCACATTTTTCGGACATAGGTTGGTTTCAGTCAATCGAAAAGTCCACTCGTCCTTATTTATACCAAGTTGCAAATTGTATAGACTTAAATATGTACTTTTAGTATCTACCACACAGGTGAATAGTGCTTTTCGCGCGCACTGACTGGCCAGTTCGGAAGTGATTAGCAAGTGGTTCGTCCCATCGCGACTCTGCTTAATCCCAGTGTAGATTCTTCTCTCCCTCAAAAAACTTTCCGCCGATATTTTGTGGTACTGAATTATTTGTCAAAATCGCAATCAATTGATTAGTTTGGTTCTTCTTCCTGTACTTATACCCTAAGTAGTTCGCTAGAGGTTAGTTCATCACTAAACCAGTCGCAGGTGTTGTGAGAAAAGTTGATAAACTGTGACTGTGATGAAAAAATAGATAGACTCGGCCTTGCAAGTGGTTCAACATACTAAGTTGATTTCCTTTCTTTAAAATGAATGGAACTAAGTCGAACGACCGTTGTTGCATTGACATCTAAGAATCCTCGCAAAACCTTTCCTGAACTCGTCGTTCATACCAGCATAGAGTAGTGGGTTTACACAGCTATTAACATAAACCATGAGACTTCCGAAAGTAAGAAATGTACTTAAATGGGGCCAATTGGCACCTGAACCAAACTCATACCATAGCCACACGACTTGATTGGGCAGAAGGCATATGGCGTAGAGAAGCACGACTGAAACCAACATCTTGATAATCTTCGTTGATCTCTGCAGCCGTTTCTCCTCTTTCCGTGTGTTCGAAGGCTTGCTCGCTGTGATCTTTGTTTTGTTATTTATGACCGACATCTGAGTACTGTTAGCGAAGGAGGGATCATTCGACGCTAGCTCGCTTTCCATAGCAGACTCCATGTACTGACTGGACCCGGCATTCTTAGCTTTTTCATACGCACTTTCAGATATGCCACTCGCTTTACGATTTCTTGCCAGGATGCTTGCTTGTTCACGTAGCTTCAGTGCCACCATGGAATACGCAAAGCCTATGATCGAGAGTGGAAGTGCGTACTGGAACACAAACAAGCCCAGTGTGTACAGTTTTACAGCAACAGGCACCGGCCAGTCTTCTCGGCATTCACCTTCCACCATCTTTAACGCCAGAATGTAGGGTAGAACAAGAAGCAAAGACATTAACCATGTGGAGCTTATTATGATGGATGTTTGAACTGTCGTGAAGCGAGGCTTCCAAGGGTATATTACGGCTCGATACCTTTAACGGAAAAATCGTTAATGATGATCGGTCGCTAAAGTTAAAATTTTGGCATAGGTCGGAGTGAATTATTTAGCGTGAAGAAGATCGAAACAAGTCTGGCTGACCTATTCTAGCGAATGGGAAGCGTCCATGGTCGTAACCAATCCATTCCTTGCCATCATTCATATCATATGGAAATGAAAGATGTTGGTGCTGTAGTTTTTGTCAAGTTGAAAATACCTAACATCGATAAAAGGGCAAGAATTCGCAAAAAAATCACCATTTGTCTCCCATTAAAGGTTAAGCCAACAAATCTTACCTGTCATAACTTATTGCTGCAAGAGTTGCCGCTGAGCAGTTTGTGAACAGCGTCATAGCAGGCCATACAACTTTGCACAGTGCTTCACCAAGTGGCCACACAGGAGAGGTCACTTTTAACACGACATCAAACGGGATGCAAAATAAAGCCACCATTAGGTCTGAAATTGCCAAGTTTACAAGCAGAAAGTTACGAGTGGTGCGCATACGAGGTGTCTGTGCAATTACGAGGCAGACGAGGGTATTTCCGGTCACAGCGAAAATAAATATAACAGCAAAGAAGGTATACTCTGTCAATTGCAGTGCCGTCATTGCTGTTTTTCCGGTTTCGGTTGAATTTTCCATGACACTGTTGAATCTGAGGACTGTTGAGTACTGGGACTGTGTTCCAAATGAAGAGTGCAGCTACTAATGATGAATAATAGCTTTAAATTTGTTTTTTTTTGCTGGTGATTGTTCCTCAGTTCTACGCCGATTTATAACAGTTGTTCAAGATTGAAATTTACTAAAAGAAAATAGAGAAGATAAACGTTAAGTGATTATTGTTTCTTTTGAACAAGCCGTATCCTATAGTTTCATTCTGATAAATAAAGAAGTATATTTTTACTACTTCATGTAAATTTAAAAAAAAGACAGAAATCAAGAAAGAGTCATTAACTGAATACAACTGACAACCACAGTCTGGATTTTGGGAGAGCTTTACCGTTTTCTCACTTACTCATCACATCTCCCGATTCCCTTCCGCTAGCACTGACGGAGATCCTTACACAAATAGCAGTATCTCTACGTTCGTTAAATGATGGGAAATGGCGGCATTGTGGTCGAGATAAAATTAGATAATGATGATGGTGGATTTGTAGAGATTTCTTTGGGTAAAGCTTATGATGAAAAGGAAAACCTAGGCCTCTAAAGAACTTTAATACCTGACACAGTACCGACTAAATCTATATTGAACTTTTGATTTCAGATATTATTCAAGACAACTATCCAGTCTTAGCAACTCACTATTATTGCCGGCTTTCGTTATTGGTGGTTTTCAAATTTATCAGAAGAAAAAGAAAAAGATATTGGTTTAGTTTACATCAGTTTTGAAACCGATTCAACGGTCATTGAGTTTTAATAATTTCTCCGACTCTCAGCGAAATGCAGTAAACTCACAAAAGTAAACAATGTAACGTATTATTTCAAAACCTTAGAGATCGATCACTATCGGCTAGCACACCACAGTGGATTACCTTGAAAAACGGTGAGCAACCATACAGTTTTAACTTCCTGTTAGCATGATTTATCTCCAACCTTTTAAGTCATGCAAAACGGTCTACCATAATTCTTACCTGTGGAAAATAAAAACGTGCTGATTAAATGGAAATCAGTCTTCATTTCCTTTTTGACATCTTTCTCTATTTACTAACTTTCCTTTTCAGTTTGTAAAATTTCACTTGGTTTGGCCTAAGCCGCATTAATGAGCTCCAACCAACTGAGTAATGAGTTTTAAAAAATGTCACATTGCAGTGCATTTTCATCTCAAGTACAGGAAGACGAACCGAGATATTTACGCCCACATTTTCTGTTTTGCTCTTAACCATCCATATGTCTGCGTCTTCATTAGGAAATGTAAACATTTTGACTGCGTTTCCGTCTAGAAGGACCAAATTGCGGATGAAAGAGACAGTACGTGACTCAATCTTGGACGTTTTCAAGCTCCCTTTTCACCTGTCTATGCATGACACAGATCGATTTGAAAATGATGCATCGTTTCGTAACTCTCCACTTTTCAAATCGTTTTCGCAAGTCTTCATTTGCATCAGCGTTTTCGGATGTTTTAGTGTGGATGATGGGAAAAATGCATAAAAATGTGCGCATTTTCTCCCAAAAACGCATTTGAGTGGACGAAGCTTTTAGAATTGTTATTCAATGAAGCACTTTTTCAGAAACTCCCTTTACCTTATGCTTGTAACTCGCTAGTTGAGTATTTACCCTCGGAAGTGGTGAGTATTGCAATTTAAAGATTAAGAACCTCGGTCTTCTTGTGAACTAAATCCCCCTTAATCTTGTTTGCTGTTGAAAGCTCAAAATCTAGGAAATACGATTTTTATCAGTATCTGTCGTTGTTGTATTTTTGTCCCAAGTGACATTAGAATTGACTGTATATCGTTAAAGTTGTTTTTTGATCTTTTTCATGTCATGGAAATAACGTCCCACGGTTTTCCGATTGCTTTTGTCGAATGAAGGTTTCTCACTCACTTTGAGACATATCTCACGACTTTTTATCAGAAAAATCAAGAGGAACGTTTAAATTTGCCTTAAAATTAAATTTATAATTCAGACAAAATAAATAGTGTGAAATGTTTACTTTTGAAAATAGTTATGTTCAGTTTCGTTTTAATGTTTTATGTTTGAAAACGATAAGCTGCTTTTATTCTTCCTGCAATTGGTGTTTGTTTTAAAGACATCTAATTAACGAGGTCGTAAGAAATTTGAATTAGTATGTCCAACTTCGATCGATTCCACTTTTATCTTTGTTTGGATGAACCAGTTTTTGATAGACTTGTGAAAAAAAGAACTCTTTAATGGACAACCCTAAGACCTCTGTACAAAAACAGAGAGACAAAAAACTCCTTTCTTATCAGTTAATAATTCCAGTGTACGGGAACATTAGGCAACTGATTGGAGGCAAGAGCAGTTGTGTACGAGTCAATTTGATTGTGGCGGGATCCTACTGAAGTCCCCGACTCATAACAAATTAAGAAAGTAAATAATAAATGAAAGCATCTTTAGGATCCTTTTTTTTTGTAATCCAAACCTCTTTCCCTTAAGTAAAGCTGAAAGGAATGACTTTTCTGAAAATGGATAAAACTGTACAAAATGCAAATGAGGTAAGAACTATTTGTATCATTGTTGGATCCTGTCGTTCTAAAAATATTGAAATAGAAATGACACGAACATGTCAAATTTATACTTCGCGAGAATTGAACAATTTTTAAATTCTGATTATTCCACAAGGGTATTTCTTAATTTTGAAACTCCTGCATACCAGTCGGATTCTGCGCTCTAGAGAGAGCCTAAAGCATGAATTCTAGTATTTTTGCGAGGAGCTTTTGCGTTAATTAGCTCGGTCTTCAGGTTGTCCACACTTCCTTTGAGACATTTAAAAAAAGAAAAAAAACTTTGTAGTTAAAAGCAAACTTCTGCAATGAAAAAGAAAGAAATGCCGCCCGGGAATTTCAAGATATCCGTGTTGTAAGGTGTTTCAAAAATTTTCCATCCCATAGATTACATAGACTCGTTTTCAAAAGCCTAATCGTTAGGTGCAGAAGCAGAAGAACTTAAGCCTATTGAAAAGCTCAGAGCAATTTAACTAAGCACCTGATGTGATCTCCTCATAGAAGAATGATTCTCTCAGTTTTATATAGCACCTTGTGGTATCGGTCAGCTATGACTGTCTGTGAAAATTCTTTTCCTAGACTTTAAATGCATTGGTGACCCCTCTAATGATTAAATACTACCCACATAGGTAAAGGATAACGGCAAGTCTGATTTATTTGACCTCTAAATGCACTTCTATGGTTGGTTGTAGCAAATTTGGAGAATGACTTCCATTTGTAAAACGATGACGTTCACAGGAAGAAAAATAAACATCTCTATCGCATCTATGGTATAAATTATATTATCTCTTGCCACGGTGTAAACAGTCATGAAGGGTTTGTAGAAGCCGATAAAACTGAAGCTGCGTTTTCGTACGGTTGGGCATTGAAATAATTGTGTTAATTTACCCGGATATTTGGTAACCCATTCTTCGTACTGCCTGAAGTATTCTATCATCTGTGGTGAGGACACACCTCACGGCTTATCAGATCTAATATATAGGATGAAGATTATATTTTCGATGTTTTCAGACCTGTCCTTCAGAAGATGGATAATTTAAATTGACTTGGTGATGGATATCCGTGGGAACACCCACCACTGCACTTAAACTGAGCGGCTTCTTTAAATGCTAATCAGCTATTAGCTCCTAAATTTCACCACTTGCGCTCATTTCAATTCAACTTGTTAGTGTGTTAAACCGCCAAGAAGAAATTTAATCTCATTTGTGGTTCAAGACACAACAGTGCTCGCATTTCAATAACAAAAGGAGCGCCAAAAAGAGTTAAAGAATATATTTTTATTCGCGCCCAGACGACAAAAAAAAATTCTTTTGACAGATTGCCATATTTTCAACTCGTAATGTAACAGTGTTTACTTTAGAAAGGGCATATAAAAATAGAAGAGAAAATGTTTTTTTTTTCAATTTAATCGAAAGAAAAGCTTAATTTTTCCCTGGAAAACTGCAAGAATCTGGAGAGACCTAACTGGGAAAAAACGCTTTGACCTGAAAAACAAATTTGAGACAAACACCTGCTACAGTAACTGACGCTAGCTAAAACCACGATATAGTGAAGTTTTTAGCCTTCTTGGTTTCATGTCTATTAAGTTGCTGGCTCCCATTTAAATCAAATAGTGATCCAAAAGTTGTTTTTTCGCCCTTCTATTTTAAGCTTGTAGGCAAAAGACTTTTTTTCCCTTTCTTATATTCCAAACCTCAACTATATTTCATAGAATATTTAATGATAATATTCAGCCTCGATGTTTAATCCGAAGAATTGTAGTACATGATAATTTGAAAGTGACCGCGAAATTATTTGAATTTATCCGTTAAAGGTGCTGTGGAGATTTTTTGGCCCATGACTTTTCTAGATTAGTGTCCATTCTAATACGATCTGAAATTAAGCTTCTTCACCTATCTTGAATATCTTCGGTTGTCCATGTAAAAAATGTATTATTCCTAGTAATAGTTCGTGAATTAAAGGCTAGGCATTGTACAGTAACTTAGTAACCTTTGAATAAAAGATTCATTTCATACAAAGAGTATCATCCTCGAAGTGTCATATTCTATTTATAAACTGCCAGCCCTTTTCGAATTCCAGCCAGTTATCTTTTGCAATAGCAAAACTGAAACAAGATCATGCATCATGCGCTCAATTTCGAATTACTCACCTACAGAAATCTCTCGTTAATCTCTCTTACTGTTTAGCATAAATGCTTTTTTGGGGGGCACAGAAAGAAGCAAAAAGAAGCACAGGCGAATGTATTTGTTTTGACTGAGGCTGGAACGTTTTCAACCGGATTGTAGCTGTGCCAAAGTAAACAGTATTTTGCTTGGACAATGATATATTTCAACCAGTGTTATCATTATTATCGGCTAAAATTATACAAATTGGCTCTACTCGCGTGTATTACGAAAACAAAAACATATTACCAAGTAAATCCTTTGGATCCGGAGATAAAAGCTACTTTAAATTCAACATCAATATTTATCTGTTTTCCCATAGAATGCATAAGTACTAGTACAGGTACTCATGGCGAGATGAGTTCTTTATAAATTTAACATTAAAATATTTTAAAGAAGCAATTTTACTATAATACTACTATTGCAATAAAATTGGTCTACACCTTAACGTAGAGGGGAATCGAGCAAAAAATCAACAGTGAGAAACACATCTTTTTCTTTGTTATCTTCCATTTGAACTGACATTATTAAATTGTAAGCCGGTAGAATCAATTGCACTACATATACCTGGAAGTACGTTTCTGAACGACAAGTTCGTGATAGCTGAACGACCAATCAAACTGTGGAAATACGAATCAATTAATCTGCAACGAGTGTCTCTTGGCTTCTATTCGTATTATCGAGCGCGCGCATCTATAATATATGCATAAAATGTTAGCATGAGGTAGTAAGAATCATAGATCCATCAGAGGAAACAAGCCAATGACATATACCATGTACATACTCTTTCAATATTCTTTATGTGTTACTCAACTTACCTCCAAAACAGAGCTAATCATAAGAATAAATTATGATAACAAAACCTAAAACATTCGTTTCAGGGAGTTGTGTGAAACTGTTTCTTCAGAACACTTTTTAATAACGATATCTTTCCTTCTGAGTAAACTGATCCGAATTACTTGATAAATCATTAATTGAAACAACTAAATGTTTACTTATATGTCTAACTTTGGAGGATGCACTTCTAAAATGTTTACTTTGATCTTAAAATAAATTTTGATGTCAGAAATTTATCGAGGACCTAACTTGACAGATCCTCTGAGCATCGCTTGAAAATGCATTTATTTTATCATTCGTTCAACCACTTTCATGCATTAATTAATTAATTTTTTTTTATTATCCTCACATGTGTTTACTCATTTTGTCATTATTTCAGTAGGTTATTGTTTGTTTAAAGATAGAGTAGTTTTTGAAGAGACGTAAGGATAAGAGCAATATATTTGCAAATTTTGGAGAATTCAAACTAGGGATTCTCAAAAGTCTTATTTCTGGAGTTCTTTAATACATCTTATCCATGCTAATCAAATTTTGGTCCAACGTTGATCATTAAATATTTACAAGCTGTCAACTTCTAAAATTAACATCTTTTAGATTAAAAGAAGCTTGAGTCGCCAAAAATAAAGTTGTATTTTAAGTACCTCACCCTTGGCAAAATTTTCTAATGGCAAAATGGTGGGCATAGTAACTAGAACACCCACAGTTACATCAATAAAATACTGAATAATGTTCGAGGTTCCTAGATGGTGTCAATATGCCACGAAAGGTGAAATGTCCTTATAATCAATAATTCTGCATTCAAAAAGACCATAACTTGATCTTGGCTTATAGACTATCGATCCACGATTGCGAAATACCTCGCGAATTTTCCAACACTTACAGAAAATGAGGTCACCCGTCTAAAAACAACAACACACATTCACTTATACAAAAGGAAAAGCGCCTTGTCCTATCAAGTCGCAATTCTGTAACACATTTTCGCCTGCAGCCCGTGATACGATATGAGAATAATATTTTCACCTTTGGTTCCATCACAAAATTACCGAAAACTGTGGATCTTCAAATAAAGTTCGTAGCTGTAATTTTCTGTAGCCTACATTTCATAAGGTTAAATGAAAGAAAAGAAGCATTTGATGGCATAAATTTGATCTGCTACAGACCCTTTTATGTTCTGATTTCGGAGAGGGCGAAGATCTCCAGCTTAAACCCATGGCAGCCTTCTGCCGGGCTGGGTGAAATAGCGGCGGGCTCATGCACTGAACTAGGCCGAGTCCAAAAGGTCGTAAGCAGCCAGTTTATCAAATGCTCACATTTATGCTATTTTAGATCCTCAGAAGTTGTGCGTTTCTCGAGTCAACTCAAAACCAGTCACATTACTGAGCTCCTTACGTCAGTGGCTAATGCGCAAATATTGCGATTTAAGAAATATTTTATATCTTACGAAATATTTCATCGAAAAATAAAGTAAGAATGAAACACATACGTCATATACTTAATTTTTTAAGGGAAACGTAATCAGGTTTTTACGGATATCATCAAGTTCACGTTTGGAAGAAATATTCAGTATTATTCCTGAGCAACTTTGATCCGAGCCGATTTAAATTACAGAATCAAGTCGTTATTGCGGTGATGCATGAAAAAATGTCATAGTGTAAACTTTTTCGTGATACTTATCCACAGACATCGCATTCATGGAGAGAATGTATCCTGTTAAAGGTTCCCTTCAACAGCGAAAGATCGAAGACGCTCGTGAAAATACCTCTCGTGTTCGTGTCACAGGATGCTCAGCTGAACGTTTTTTCTTTAGTTTCAGTGTCATTTACCTTAATATTTGGCTGACCTTGGGTGAAAGTTTTAAAACGTCCACACGCCTTTTGAAAACCCCTCGATCAATTGAACTGCGCCTTACAGTAGTACAGTACAGGAGTCTTGATTTCAATTCATTTTATAGAAGAAAAAAAAACAGCGTATGTTAGCGGATTTTAATAACAAATGGTCGACTATTTACTTTTGAAGATCACGTCCCACAAACATAAAAAGGTTTCAGAGAGAACTTTTCTAAACGACGGACTCTAACAGATGCATGACCAATCAAACGGGCGACAGATTATGTAAAATACAGAGCAATTGATCTGCACAGCGGGTCTCCCGGCTCCACTTCCAGTAATAATCTAATAACTGTTTTATCCATAAATGAATTCATCCGCTCGTTTATCCATTTTCCTTTATTTCCCTAGACTATCTACTGTCTAGACGATGGCTAGGTTTCTTCAAATATTTGAAATAAATTAAATGAGGTTGAGAGTGATATCCTTGCAAATTTTGGAGAATTTGAAGTTAAAATTGTAAAAGTTTTATTTTGGTGTTATGTACTCATTTACTATTTATCTCGATTTGCGTTTCATGTATGTTTCTAACGACATTTTTCAAAAACAGACAGGTTCACTAAGGTCTTATGAAAACTGTCACTTTATATATGAGAATCTCAATTTAGCTGAAATACGTCTACTGTTTATCAATTCCAATAAATTTTTATCATGATTTTGGTCATTGATTATTTTCACTCTTTTCTTCCAATGTGAAACTTCTTGTAAAAAATGTTAAAAACTTAAGTCCTTGCACTTCATGAAAAGTTACCAGTTTGAGAAACATGTGACATTTTTTTTCTCTCATATGATTACTATAAAGATCTTCGACGCATTTTAAGTGGCTCCCCTAAGGCAAGATTTTCTTAGGGCAAAAAAGGTGGGCAAGGTGACATGAATACAGCTAATCATATCAAGAGAAAGAAATGTGGCTTGGATGGAAGTTTCCATATCACGTCTCTGTGTCGCGGACGGCGAAACGTAATTTTAAGCAGCAAAACGGTCTATCGGTTGCCATATTCTTTGCGAACTTAGTTATATTGAAAAAAGTACTCAAAATGCTGAAAACTAAAGTCGTGAGAGGTTTCTGGATAAAAAAGCTACACCCACAAGATTACGTATCAATGTAAAAAAGCTGCTTTTGTTATCAAGTTTAAGGGTTAAAAAAAATGGGAGTTAAAGGAGGCAGGCATAATGTTTAACAAATTCACGTATTTTGATGAACTCATAAATTGGACAGAAACACTACTTGCACTTGTAATACGAAGTTCGCCACTTGATTTCACTCCAAACCTTCAGGCCGACCTACCACGACATAAAGATATATATTGTTGTTAACCTCGGAACAAAACAACGAAACTGTTTTTTTTATTTTTTTAACGATATCATCTGAGCCTAGGGAATCTCTGGATCAAGTCGTCAAAGTAGTTATACACAAAAGTGTTAATATGCGAACTTTCTGGAATTACTTACCCGAAGGAACCGAACTCATATGAAATGCCTTGCGTTGGTTATCCCTACAATGGCGGAAGATAGGACACCCTAGTGGAAATACCTCACGCAGCCATGTCGCAAGGTGCTCTGCTGAATCTTTTTCAATAACAGTGTCAGTTTTCTCCTAGGTAACTAAACATGTATAGCATTTTCGAAGCTCGTACTCGCCTTTTGAAATCTCTCAGATCAGTTAAAAAGCTTGCCTCACAGCTTGTGGTGGATACTGTGGAAGTGTCTTACTTTGATTTCCTTTTAAGAACAAAGCTGCCCCCGCTTGTGGATTTTAATTATTAACGTATATAATCTTATGCGTTTAAATATCACTTTATAAAATGGTCTGTATAAGTACTTGCCACTGTCAACCTATGTAATTACTGATCGAAACTTCCTCTTTATCATGTGAAACTGTGTGATTCAAAAATGTTACAAAAAAAGATAAGCAATAATAGAATAAAATAAATCATAAAATAAAACAGACCTGGACTATAAAAGACATTTAAAATTGTTCAAGAATCCTTCGTCAGTCGGCTCAAACTCATGATTACTCGTCTAGCGATCTCTTATCAAGCCCCTTCCTCTTTTATATTACAGACCCATGTTCCGATTTAATACCGGAAATTTGTTTCTCAAATGAGAGGCTCTCACATCATCGTTCAAAATACCACCTCTAAAAGAAATTGAGATGGCGAAATATTCTCTCTTACTCTCCTTCTGAAGTCTCAAACATCGGTTATTGACCAATGAGTTCACACATTTTCCGGGCGAAACGAAAAACTAGAATAAACTTTCATGATGCACTTTTTCAATTTATACGTTGTGAATTCCACGATCAAAGGGACCATAGAATCTCGTCCCAAGCGTTCACCCTACATCGTGAAAATTTAATGCTGTTGTGTCCGAGAATTTATTTCACGCAATATTTTGTTTCATGAGATTGTGTCGTCTATGAAGGATTAAGCATATGCAGAAGCATATGACGATGTTTCTTTGCGACGATTTGCCCACCTTAAGGTTACGACGTCACCTTTTAAATTTTTGACAATGGTGAAGGGATGAAAACTACTTCTTGCGTTTCACTGTATTCATAACAGTTTTCTAACTGTGCATAGCTAACGATGTAATCTATTCGCCCTTATGTTGCGCAAGAAAGACAGCTCATCGACATGCGTGATAGTACTGTTTTCAAGGAAATCGCGATCACGTACGATAAATGCTGTAATTAAGAACAGCTCACTGGAAAATGCTAATAGACAAACATTCGAGATGTAAGTTTTGAAACCATGTAACTATCACTGCGTTTGTAGAGTTTACTACCATATGTCGACCGAAAGCATCCAAATGAGAGATGTCGTCATGAAGTTACTCAAATATTTCTGTATTTCTGGGCTTCTTTTCTTTGGAAAGTCTTCGTGGGGTGATTTTTTACTTTTCTATCTTGTATGAATTAGGCAGGTGCAACGGAAGACACAATTATCTTAATGAGCTAAGCTCACGTAGTATTCCCCTTTCACTTCACACATTCCGCACGTAGCTTGAAGTACTTAAGTAACCTTGAAAATGCAGTGAATATTGGACGTGCAATATTGGACTTAGTTCTTAAGTTACTCAAAAGTGAGGGCATTAGGGTTTTTGGATATTTTGGTTTTCTTCATTTTCACCATTCGTTCAGTTTTAGATTTTTTCAAAGAAGCCATGTTCTCGCATCCATCTGTATAGAGAAACGTCTGGTTCATTTAACGGTTTTTGTTTTTATCTTTGAATTCATAGTTTCTTAGCCCCATTATTTCACTACAATGGGGATATACTTTGGTGGTTCTTCAGTTTGGAGCGATAATTTTGATAATTTTAGCCAGTTCTACGGCAGATGCTCACCATTTTTTAACTGACCTTCTTCTTCTCGATTAAAATTATATCATGGCAAACTCCAGAAGGGCAATTAATATGAATGTTGCTTATCTATGATAAGATGAAATCAAGCCTGTCCTAAGTATTGTTATAAAGCCAGCGTAACCAAAAAACTACTTACAGGCGGGGGCAAACTAACGCAACGTGAAACTGAAATTAAACCCTGTTAGCCTATCACTAACACATTTTTTTTGTATGTTTTTCCAGTGGACTTATTCAGTTTTTATAGGACTCTCTCATTTTCTTATCTTACAATGGACAAACTAATCTTTTGTTAGTATCCATAGGTTACAACATCACACTGCAGCTGTCTTACGAATAAGGTAGCCGGGAACTTATAATAACAGACGTCAATTTTCTCGTCACTTGCGTCATGGAATAAAAATTTCAAGTTCTTGAAAATGAAGGTTGTGCGTAAAGGATTTTCCATGCAGCGCTGAACTAAGCAACCTGGGAGGTATACTTAAGGAAAACCATGGGGATACACAAGCGGGCATTGTAGAACTCATCAAAAAACCTTGATCATTACAATTGTTGAAACTATAAATAAGATCGACAAAGCGATCTCGATTACAGGCGAAGGACATGAAAACTAAAATCAGTTGGCAAAATTCTTTCTGTTAATTTTTTTTCATTTGACTTCTTCCTTCATTTTCTCCCCCTGATTATATTTATTGTTGAAGATTGGCAATCGCCTGTGTAATTAATTAAAGTCAGGTTTTACGAACTCCAACTAGATTGCAGAACAATACCGAAAATATGTATTCAATCTTGTTCGATCTATGAATATGTCAACTTCTAATCAAAGTTAGTATATTTTTATAACCTGTACCAGCCGCCCTCAGTTAGTGGAGACGAGCGCAAACGCAGGCGCGGGAAAAGTGGCAAGCTGGCGGACGCAGAGGTTGCGGTTGACATGGATACAGCTGTCTCACTTATCGCGTTTCTTCGTGCTCTTTATTCACAATAGGTGAATATTTTCCTCGAGCAGTCCTCATAAAGGAGTTAAGGAGCATCTTATATTGGAATTGAAGTTCACCTTACCTTATTTGTATTTGTTTTGTTTTGTTTTGTCTTATCTTGATTTGTCCTAGAAGTTCTGAAAATACATATAAATAAATCAATGTGGACTTGACTATATACAACCTATCGTGCTGTTTGCTGTTTTTGGTTTGTGACGTTTTTTCCATGTTCCACGGTTTTGAAATTTTTTTCATAAATACGATGCGACACTAACCAAATAGCGCTAAATCTTGGTATTTGGCTTTTTCGACGATATTTGGGTTTTCGAGAGACATTGGTTTTGTGTAAAGTATTGAGCAATGGTAGTGTCACTCGAATTTATTCATTAAAATAAAACAAACAAATTCACGAAACTTAACATTTTAAGTGACTCTCAGCATGGGTAAGTTCTTACAATATTCCTCAACATTTATGAGAAAAGTTCCTTCTCAATGCAAAACTTACATAAGTACATGAAAGACTAGCGATCACTGCGCGCGATCAGCATAAATCGATACAGAATCGTCAAATATTGGTCTGAAGATAAAAGCCGCTCACTTTCTTAGCGTTTTTTTATGAGATATCGAATTATTTTTTGTTCTTTATTTGGTGTCGAATAGAGGTCATGGTTTTGGTT